CCAAACAATGTAGAGTAGCATACGAAGTCAATTTTATTGTAAAACACACAATTTCGCTATATACTATTATTAAGGTACTGTAAGTAATTTATGTAACATATTGAAAGGAGTGTAATATGTCGTTACGTAATGTAAATGTAGAGTATCGTGTAGATAGTGGAAGTAATTGATAGTAAGTCATCTGCTGTAATCAAGTTTATTCTAAACTATACTTTGTTTTTGGTGTGTTCTCAGTAAACTATTGTAAGCAACGTACTGTAACTGAGTCCTGTAGTGTATTGTAAGTAGAGTAATGTTTTGTAAAATGCCAAAAAAATAAAAAAATTACAAAAAAAAAATTTCGAAGAATTAAGAGATAAATCCTGACTTCTTCTCGCTCCTCTTTAAAAACCACGGTGTAAATACAAACTGGTGCCAAAGCCATAGGCTTGGGAGAGCTACATTAGCGAAGAGTTTTTGTTCCCAATAACAGGAAAAATAGAACAAACCTGATGAAAAAAAGTTCAGTATTGTCCGCCCAAATTATTATAATTTGTATTTACACTTGTAACACGAATACTTAAAAATGTATTTACAATACCTTAGTTGTACTTGTTCCGTGGGTACTGTAAAGGCAGCTTTACCTTTCCCTTCCCACGAAATATATGTACAGTGAATCTCAAGTTGCCAAACGACGTCGCGTTTCCAATATCGTCATTCGATTTAGAACTCTTCTGATTGCCGTGAGAAACGTGAGTCGGTTGTTATCTTAGAGCTTTGCTTTTGACCTCAGTTCGTGACTTTTACAATTGAGATATGATTAACGGATCATTAACTTTTATTTCCCACGGAATATGAATGAAACACCATCCAACAGTTCAGCGATAGCTTTAAGGATACAAATACCAGTGAGTTGCTCTTGACAAGGAGGTCAACGTTAATTAATACGAAACTTCAAAATGATGACATCTTTTACCCTCGAAAGTATTAGTCAATGTACATTTGCACAGCTTGTGGCATGATTACATAAAATTACTATCTTGACTGCCCTACGGACAATGAAATTCATTGTGGAATACTTGTGATTACCAATGTGGCTAAATTCTTAAAATGTTGTATTTCGATGGTGCATGTTAGTGAGCATTACGTCTCTGTTTACAATTATCACTCATGCCCATTTGTAGACTTTCAAAAGTTAGACGGAGAAGTCTGTCAGGTTTCTAATGAACACAGTATCTTCAGTGGCGGTATAAATAAAAAAAGAAAGGAACCAAAAAAATCAGTGGAGACACTTTAAGCAGTTATTTCAGCAAGCGCTTCTTGGATTATCATTACAAGCACTAATCTAATTTCTTCTCGATTCGTTCACTGGATTCATTCGCGGGAGCATAGCTCTTTGACTCATTCATTGGATTGAAGCATCCCAGCATAGGTTAAAAGTAACTGCTCAGAGGCATGTATGCTGCACTTTAAGAAAATCAAATACTAACTTCATGGAATCTTTCTTATTTACTTTTGCTCTATGTAAAGATTGATTTAATTGAGAAACACATGTAAATAACAAAAATGAATTCTCGTGGCAGGAAGTTAATCATTGAAAAGTGAGTCCAACGCTCTCCCAGCTGTCTGGGAAGCCAAAGGAGGTATTGTCAAGGCCTTCTTTTGTTGATTAACGTCTCCATTATTTAATAACTCTTGTTTTAAGAAATAAAGCACGCAAAGCTTTCCTTAATGTTACGTAGAAACGAACATACGTTTATTTCGCACAAAAATGCCATTACGATCTGGCAAAGGATAAACATTCGTCTCATCAAATAAATTAAGGTCGCTGCAGCAACGGTTACAATCAAAATAAAATGGCCGATCTTCAATCACGCAGCGTAGCTTTCACCGTCGTGGAGTCCGCCTTTATGATTGCACTGAATTTCTGTCCCTGATAGGAAACATCATGGAGTGTCAGCCGCGTACAGGAATATAAGACTCTCAGTCAAATTTAGCAGGTTTAGAAATGTGCGATAAAGAACCAATCTGAGTATTAACACTTCAGTCAAATTCTCATTAATGGGAGTATAATGTATCTTTATTATTCGTTGTTATCTTCTGAGTCTGCGTGATTGAAAGGACCAGTTCAGTGTTTTTAGGTCATTACAATTTCCTCGGAATATAATGATTTCAAACTTTCTTAATCAGTGCTTTCCGTAATCGCATCGATTTTTATTATAAGCTATTGTTTTTATCCTTCAAATAATTTTGCAATGAAGGAGGAAAATGTTTACGAACAGCTTAACGTTTTCTGCGTGAGACGCTGACCTTTCAGAGTTCTTTTGTTCGACTTTATAAACAAACAAACACGACCCTTCTTCTCTAACAGTAGCTAAATGCTTCTTCATCTTGCATTCAATTTGTATACATAAAAACAATTTCATAGTAGTAGACGCAAGGTTTTAAAATTGGGGAATAGAATTTGGGTAACATCTTCTGTTAAAACCCACCCATTCATTTTCGCGCGACTGCATTATTAGCTACTTTATGTCACATGGTACAAAATCACCTGGCAGCTANTTCACTGCCTTTTTCACAGAAAGGGCCCTCATCATAAATAAGCATTAAGAACACATAACATTACTAGGTTACTAGGTTAAAGAAGATATTTTCAAAATGAGGCTTCGTTTTCTTACTTTTCCAACTTGTTCTTAATTTTCTCCTTCTGCCGCTTAGACTCTCCAAAAGTTTCACCAATGTTTGGTTTAAACTTACAAACATTGGTATCTTCAGAACTGCAAAAGGATACTGACAAATATTTTATTTCAACGGAGGAAGTGGAAGAAAATTAAAATTCGCGGCAACAATTCTCGATCTTCAATCACGCAATACAGAGTTGTCTCTGGCTTAGATAGGATGTTTTCTGTCAAAAGAGTTAGACTTAGAGATGCCATTCGCTCTCTTTTTATACAGTCTTGTTTCTCTTTCTTCCTCTATACAATAATTTACCATCAACAAATTAACACAAAGCACTTTCTGCCATCTGATCATCTGTCGCAGATTGACAAATGTGTTTACCTTTTGTTGTCAGTGCGCTTTATCAATGCAAACCGAAAGGCGGACTAAGGGAAAAACAAACAGACTTAAATTTCCTAGATATTCGTCAATTAGTTTTCATGTAATTAAACGGCTCAGAAAAGAAAAAAATTATAGCAACTAAGTAAATTTTTTGAGCGCTAAGAAGAGAACAAAATTAAGTAAATCTCAGCTGGTATTTTCTCCATTTCTTCGTGAGATGATGTTTGATAAACTTTATCACCAAAAATTGAGAAGATCAAAACTGTTTGCCCCTGTCAATGAATTCATTAGTTCTGTTTAGTTTAATTTTCAGTAGCCCAAATGTGAAGATCAATTAAATTGAATAATTCTCACCAAGTATTTTCTCCAGTTCTAAATTAGATGATCCTTAATAAACTTATTCACCAAACATGAGAAGATCCAAATTGTTTACAACTGCTGATAAATTCATTGGTTCTGTTTGGTTTTGCTCCATATGTGAAAATTAATTTGATTAAGAACGTGACACATGTAAATAACAAAAACGAACTCTTCCGCTTGGCAGGAAGTTAGTCATTTTAAACATCATTGGTGAGTCCAACGCTCTTCCAGCAGTTCGAGAAGCTTAAAGGAAGTATTGTCAATATTAGGCCTTATTTTTTTATTTACAACTGCAATCAACACCTCTTGTTTTAGGAAAC